GATGACCTTTAAGAGACAAAGTTTTAGTGTGCCCAAAATAAATAATTCATCCTTCACAGATTTGCCCTCTGTATCCATCTGCTTAAATCTGAAGCATGCTGATTAAAGTGACTGAGTGCAATTATCTTTAAACCTCATTGAGGTAAAAATCTCTATTTTCCTATTATACTTCAAAGCACAATTGCTCTTTTAAAGATATCAATGATCCGATATACACGGGGTCCATTTTTGCTCTGATTTATATCCAGCTCTCTGTAGCATCTTTCAAAATCTCACAAAAAGCTCTGAATTTCTCTTTTCCATACAAGTTCATTTTCCAGCACTGAAAGCTGCAATGTGTAACTAATCCTCTCACAAAAATCCCCAAAATCGTCATCTTCAAATGCAGCTGGAAAATTCATCTCTGTTCTCACGTACAGGGAGAAAAATGTCATCTAGGCAAGTGGCAAGATGTGATTTACTTTGATTACTGCAATTACTGACACTGCCAGGCTTCTTCCATCTATGAAGGCTGCAGACAATTAATTGCCAGGACAACCCATTGCCCCCTTCCTTCCCCCTCGCAATGCCCACTTTGCTGATTTCTCACCCCACCTGTTGCTCTTTTGGGTCCCAGCCCAGCTTCTGCAAATAATGATGCGTGCAAATAGCATCAGCTATGAGCACAGCCAAAGGGACTACACCTGGGGTGGAACATGCAGGGCTGGTCACTGGTCCTCATCCCAAAAAGCCTGCAGACATCACGGCTCCCCTCCAGCCATCGGCTTCAGGGGGCATGTTTGAAACTTCCTGCAGTGACCACATGCAGGTAAATAAGCTGATTATAAAATAGCCAAGCAGATGGTGTCTTTTGTTGCTACCTGTGAAAATAAGTACAGTCCTCCTATTTCCCTGGGAGGAAGGAAACAACTCAGTGGGTATCATGCAGCTCTTAGTTTATTTAGGACACTCTGAAAGAAATGCTGAATGAATATTGCAGCTATTTAAATGAATCTTTCGTGGTCTCACATGAAATTGGACTAAACTGGCACCATCTCACCTTGTTACTAGAGAGAACAAATATTCCCTCTGGCAAAAATCCTACTTCAGGCTTGAAAAGATGTTTTGTTTTATTTTATTTTGTTTTCATGCAGAAATTGAAATTGGTCTTAAATGCTCTCTGGATTTAACGTTGCTTGTTATAGAGGAAACAATGAAAATGAAAGAGTAAATAATAAGGGATTGCTGGGTTTTTAAAGGTGATTTACAGACAAAAGGAAATCCTAGAGATTAGGAAGTTGTTTAGATACCAGTGACAGTCAAGTATGGAAATGTTCCAAAATCAGAGATTAGGAAAAAAAAAAAAAAAGATATGAATTGCAAAGAACAAAGCCATGAAGGTAGGGAAGGTATACTCAAAAAGTAAAAAAGTATCCAGACAAAGAAAAACAAAAAGCCTCTTAAAACCAGAAACAAGACACCTGCTTTTCTGGCAGTTACCAGCAGCAAGGAAGACTCCACCTGCCAAAACCAATTTTTAACATCAGTAAATCACCATGCAGCTAAAGTAACAGGATGTTGGAAAGGAAATAATTTCCACTAATTAGTGTATCAGGTACCACTCTCACGCACTCAGCACTTGCACTATTGAGCAAGAGCTCGGGGTTTTCTCTGACTCAGGGTATAACCTCTCTTCCCAGCCCAATGGGGAACATGTCGTTGCCTGGAGGTTGCAAGGTGGGGTTGGCTCCCACGGGGAAGGAGTGGGATGTAGTCACCCATGAACCAACGTAACTTTCTGCTGAGCACTGCATCAATAACGGGAGAGGGAAGGATGGATGAGAAAAAGGATCTTGAGATGCTGAAGCCTATCCCTTCTCAGCAATGAAAGGGAAATTTTAAGTATTGCAGAAGGAGTAATCAAATCTGTTGAAAAAAGTAAGAGTGGCTTGGTTGTACAAAGATCACCTCTATTAGCATGTCATACATGCTCATGGTCTAAAATACTTAACATCTCAGCCCAGAGTGCGTGTGAAACTAGAAATTAACAGCACATTAATGGAGTTATGCAATGGAGGAATATGTCATAAAATAAATTACCTAAATTGAAAGCTGAGTTTTGAGCCTCTGGATCATCTTGAAGTCTGTGATGTATGTGGAGAGTCAGTCTCTTGGCTTTTGTTAAATTTAATGGGAGTATTATTGCTGAAATCCCTTACTTTGCCTTGGACATGTATCTCATGGTGTCAAGGTTGTTTCATGGAAACTATCGATGGTCAGGTTTTTTGTTTTTAAGCTTATCTAAATACTGTCATGAACACTTTTGGCTTGTGATGTTTGCTTGGCATAATGTGGACTGAATTGTGGGTATACTGATGTGGAGAAATAATAGAGAGGCTGCGGCAATCATAGTATTTCAGGAGGGTAGGAGGCCACTTTGTTTTGCAATATTTGAGTATCTGAATTGCTTGTCATCATTGAGTTCAGGTTTATTTGTGAAAAGCAAGATTAGATGAAATAATGACCTAATCACAGTCATATGCTAGTGTTATGAGGATGCAAATTTGTTGAAGGTGCCTAGTCAGAATCATAACTAAAAATCTGTGGTTAAGATATCCTTCAAATAATTGTATAAAAACCGAAATAGATCTCAAACCTATGTGTAAGGGAATGGCTCTCTGAATGATATTTCTGGACACGATACTGTCTTACTCTGCCATTCTGTGTCAGGATGAACCAGGCAGAAAGCCAAGGTCTTTTGCTTTTAGTGATAAGTAACGTTAACCTCACCACACAGTTCCTGTTTCAGTGAATTTGTGGCTCGATGTTTTAATTAACTCATCAGTAACAAGCTGAGGAAAGGTATCAAGGGCCCTCCAGCTCTTTGATCAGGGATCAGGATCCCCCCAACATATCTCATTCCCATATATCATCAAAGCTATGGTAAAGACCATATGAAAACTACAGCCCAGTTAATACATATTAAATAGTGTTTCTTTAATAGATGGGAAATGATAAACAGTTTCCTAAAATACATAAACAAATTAAAGAGAATTTCAAGCTTTGACATCTTAATAGGGTATGATGAATAGTTTGGCATCATGACAATCTCTTTGTCAAGATAGGGAGCTTTGAGATGTAATTGCTCTATGAAAGAGTTATTTAGTAGCTTTCCTATCTGAGACCATATTATATGGTTTATGGAGGACAGTGCAGGGTCTTGTTAGGGAAGTTTATCTGATTTGGCTCTTGGGGCTTTATCCTGTCACCGAGATCATTACCATGATACCTTTCATGTGATTCAGTTTTGTTCTATTTTTCATACAAAACCAATGTCTGACTCATATCCCACAAATAACATTAGGACAACAGGGGAAGGGCTTAGTTGTGTGTCGGAGGAAAGACCTATTAGCCTCTTTTATTATGGTTAGGTTGGTTTCTGTAATAACAATCTAACGAAGTGAAGTGTAGCTACCTGGAAAAAGAAGGGACAGTTGTAATTGCCTGCTGTTCACCAATAATTTATTAAAATCAGTGTCAAGAGTAAATCCTTGAAAATGAGGCTTGACATGTGTACATGATTACTCCTATGCCTGTTTGCGGGCTGCAAGTGAAATAAGCAGTGATTCATCACGAGTGAAGTTTGAATTAACTAGAGAATCCCTGGTTTGAGATGGTCACCCTGTTTTCTCTAGACATTCGATAGTTTTGTAAAGATAATGGCTATTGGCACGTACCATGGTGCAATAGACCCATAACCAGGTTTTTCCACTTTCTCCAGAGACGAACACTGTGTTGCAACACTGCAGAGTGTCGTAATACGGAGAAGCCCCAAGAATGTGGATGGGATGTTTTTCATAATGCAGTTTCCATCCTGACATCTTTCGGTTATTAACTGCAATTTTCAGCGTAAACAGAGATATATCTATCTGGACCAAGGCTTGGCACATCTTGGCTGCTTTCATCTTGTATCTCAGCAAATTAAAAAAAAACCCAAGTCCCAGCAAGCTCAACGGGGCTTCAGGCTGCAGCAAGCAGAAGGGGGGGGGGTCAGTGGCCTAAGAGAGGGACCGTATATGTGCCTATAAGGATGCTCAGGACCACAGTTAAGCACAAAAATGTCAGTGGCCTTAATCAAATGTGATCAGAGCTCAGAGCCTGCCCATACCCTGCTCATCCATGTGATGTCAAGCAGATACAGCCCCTTCTGGGAAAGGGAAAATAGAAAACAAGAAATAGTTGTGCAGCTCAGGCTTTAGGTGCCATTCCCCTGTGCACCCATGATAATCCTTGAAGCTGCTGTCTGGGTAATAATCTAGCAATTAAAAGAAAATAGTGGTATTTAATTAAACTTGTCAATCAACAAGAAATGAGTTTTCCTTATCACGAGGAGCTGGATTTGATTTTGCCACTTGGAAATGGACGTTAAAGACTCTTGTAGAGTAAAACTTTAATTAAGAAAAGAGATTTGGATTAACATGTGAGGCAGAGAGAGAATGAAAGGTCCTTGAAAATCATCTGAGCATGATTCACAGGAGGAGAGGAACCTAAATATGGGAACAGATTTTTTTTTTTTAAATAAGAGAAAAGCTATATGGTGCTAAAGCTGATGGGTAGAAGAGGCACAGGAGGGATTTTTATGAGGTTATCATGTCTCTATTCAATCCATTTTTCTGCTCTTGATATTTAGTAATTTCATATATTCAAAGTCTGGTCAGAAAGTGCATACACTGAGGGGCATCAGCAAATCCTAGGGATTTGGCTGCTTCACTTTCATAAATTTAGATAGCAGAGGAACAAATGTCTCTTTTGGAAGCTCTGAAAAATCCACTGTTTGTCACTTTATGGCTGCGCTGATGACACAGAGGATGCTGTCCACTCATATCTCCTGCCTAAGCCCACAGAGCTCTTTTCCTGCCCCAGCACATCCAGGAACTGCCCCAGGTGCCTGGAACTGTCCCCTGATAAATCCCAATGTGTTAAACTCAATGCTCAGCCCTGCTTTTTTTTTTTTTTTTCAGCCGTGTTCCCAAGAAACATTGATTTTTGTGGTATCAACTCCTTATCCTTGGATGGCTGCTTCTTCCCAGCTCAGGTATGTCTCCAAAGGTTGGTGTCTCAGGGATTCATGGTAAAATTACTTGCATTTTTATTTTGATTTAGATACTAGACAAAAGCCAATCTCTTTTTCTAAAGGTGACTGAACCATTTCAGCTGAAACTAAAAAAATGTCACCAAGGCTCATGCACACAACAGAGGAAATGTTCAGCACAAAAATCAAAGTTTGGAAATCAGATAGTTAACCAGCAAAGAGCATGGCCATGGAGGTCAGCTCATGAGAGTTTTCTCCTGATATCTATTGACTTTGGACTAGGCCCTCAGGAAGTAAGTTTGTGGTAAGAGGAATTTCATTATTTCTCCAATAAAAAAGATCGCAAAATATGAAGTCTTTGCTGTGAGCAGCCGATTGGGCAGACTCCATTTTTACAGGATGCTATCTGCTATCTCAAACCTAATTTAAGAATTTGTCCACTTCCTGCTCCCCAGTCACTAATTAGATTTATAGGTGTGGAACTGGAGAGGAGATAGGTTTGCTACAGAATTCTGCAGGGAAGGATCTGTTAATTTTAATCCTAAATGAAGTTTGAGAAAGGTTTAGTTTGTGCAGTTATAACTTCTTGGCATGCAAAAAAATCCCACTGAGGAATTTCTGATCATTTCTCTTAATAATGAGACAGATTTTTCTGTTTGTTTGGCTAATATGTGTAAGTTACCAAAGTTGACTTAAATGAAGCCTCAACTCTTCACCCCCAACCCCCACCTGTAGCTGCTTGAGTAGTTTGGTATTTCATTGCATGTCTGCATAAGTACTGCTGAAGGGACAGAAAAGGGGGATGAAATTATTTTACAAGGATATATCACCTGTGACAGTCATAATCCAGTTTAAACACAGACACCCAGGTTCATCACCGGCTTTAGCCTTTGAGGAGAAGTTTTATTTGGCAAGGGAGGGTGTCTGAGCAAACGCCAGGAACAAGGTATTTGGATAAATGATGGATGGCACTTCAAAGTTGTTTTTCTGTGATGAGTGAAGATAATTGATTTGCCTTTAAGCCACTGCTGTAGAGAGTCTGGGCTCTGGGAAATTCAGTGAATTAGTTACTGGTGGTCTAACATGGCATAGGGCATGTTGGAGGGGTATGAGCTGCCATCCCCAGAAGCTCTCAGGAAGATAAGGAAATTGGACCAAAAAGCTGGACATCTGGGAATATTCCACCCCTGATGCTGCTCCAGTCAGCAACCTCCTTACAAGGTCATTTATTTCAGGGGAAATAGGAAAATGTTGAAAATATACTCAGAGAAATCAGAATTCGTGAGACACTGCTCTGCTCCATGCATTAACTCAGAACAGCAGGAGTTGCCAGTAGGTAAAAGGAAAGATAAAATCAATTGTGTTAGAATAAAGAAGGCACAATCCATCAATGATTTTTTTTTTTTAAAGTTTGGTTCTATTAAATAACTTCCTGTCCAGTTTGGGATAGTCTGTGTCTGATGTGCTTTGTATTAATTTGAGTTTGGATCATGGGTCAGCATCTGTCCTGTGTCCCCACATGTATCAGACCTGATGCACAGAAGTGCAGGATTACACCTGGGCTGGTTTTCAGCTCCAATGTTTGATGGTGTGACAGAAACAAGGCTGGACATGGGGAGATGTTTGCTGTAGGATGGTGATCCAGCTCACTGCGTAGACTGGAAAACAGATCTGCTGTCACTCCAAAATCCTTCCAGCTAGTGGATGTTGGAATCTATGTTCTGAATTCTTGGGTATTTCTACAGCCTGCCCAAAAATATAGTTTTCCATGGAGCAAACTGGCAAATATCACAAGACAAACTGAAATTTCATAAGAATGTACTGAATGGCCAACATCAATGGAAAAGTACTTTATACTTTGCCAGAGATATTTTGAGGCAGAAATAAAGAAAAAGAAGAAAAAATCCCAAGCTCTCAACTAAATAATTTCCTATCCACTTATAGTTACTTAACGCTTCCCTCTGAAAAATTACAGGAATCAAAATGAACAGATATAATTAAACCCAGATTAGTAATATGGGAGAATGCTGCTAGAGCACGCAGTGGTCGGTGTGCTGCTCAGCCCACTGAATAGCTTGAAGCTGGGCTGGAAGGGTTCTGCTAGGTTGAGGACCTGCTTTTTAAAATTTTTTTCTTGCAATACTCTTGTGCTCAGTCATTGGTTTCTCCATGCACCACCCCTGAAAATCATGGTTTTTCCTCATCTGTCTGCTTGAACGTTTCTGGATATTTGTATTGTATCACCAGTGAATACATGTTTGTCCATCAAAAAGTTACATGAAATATTCAGCTTTATAGCTGAGAAAAATGTATGTCATTTGTTGTGATCTAACCTGGAAGAAGGAATTTTTCCCTGCAGAAATTGCACTTTAAAGTCTGTCAAAATATTTTGATGGTATTTGTGGAGGCCTTAGCCCAAGGCTGCCCTCAGCACTCACAGCAGGAGAAACAGGCTGTTTCTTAATTCCCTCCAGACAAGAGATCTTTGGTTTGAGGAACAGAAGCTTGATTTTTTGTTCTCATTTTGGTTTTGGTGCTCACAATTCACCATTTTGCTGGGAGCTATTTCAATGCACTGAGATAAAGGAGGGCTCTGGGGTTGAGTTTTCAAAGGTTGAGGCACTTCAGTCTGGTTCACCAGCCAACAAAGCAGGGATGTGGGAAGCTCTCCCCAGTGAGAGGGAGCAGCAGCTCCTCTCTGTCCTCAGCAGGAGAAAAAACTCAACACTCTCTTCGTGGCCACTCAGGCGTGCAGCTCCCGTTCCTCTTGCTAGATGATGCTTCTTCAGATGCAAAGTCTGGAAGTTAATCCCAGAGCTAGACCAAGCCAGCCATCAGTCTTCAGGCATATATAGATGTTCCTTCTCGAGTCACATGTTGTTTTTCTTTGATAATTGTTTTAGAAGCATCTGTGTTTGCTTTGGGACCCAGACCAGAGCTATGTACTCTTCAGCAGACACTGGGGCTTATCTTGAGGTCTTCCATGTGTTGTTTTTATTAGCATCCTCATTGTATCCTGGAGAAAAAAATATCCAGTGTTGGAAATACCATGTGGCCAACAGGATTATACATTTGTATTATACAACCCAGCAGCGGGGTTCCCCTTTTCTGGGAATTCTTTGTTCTGGAAAAGTAGCGCCAAGGCACTGAGATTGATTTATGTCACCAAGAGAAACCAAACACTCAACGCAACATTTCACAAACAGAGAGAAGTGCCAAGGGCCTTGGTATGAAGGTGACTAATGCTGCTGTCCCCAAGCCCCACAGCTCCCTCCCCCTGCGTCCAGCCACAGGGAATGAAGTCTGGATGCGCCGTGTTGCACTGCCTGGGATTATTTACCAGGTCAGGCTGGTTATCCTACCTGTGAGTTGTCCTTTTGATCGCACTGGTGCATGAAGTGACCCAAGATGTTTTTAGGAAGCAGAGGAACACAATAGAGCAACACGTGTAGTGTTTTTAAATGAAATACTAAAAAAACCCCTGCCTGCAATGTGGGAAAGTAGACTGGGGGGGGACACACTTACCTTGCTCCTGCAGTCTAGTCTCTGTGATCCTTAGATATGTGGTGTTGGCTACAGTTGACCACAGGCTCCCAGGGTAAAGCTTCAGTCTGGCCCACTGTAGCCTTTCTTACATTTTTACATTAATCCATTTGTCTTACTGCCAGGATGAGATACATTTTCCCCATACTATTTTCCCTCATCCTAGCTGCTCAGCCTTCAGGGTCCTGCTGTTTTTATTCCCCTGTTAGTCCCTGTTTTCTTTACCTATATGATGGGACTCATACTAAACTTTTGGTGGTGTCATCTCCTACCATCTATCCCGAACCACATGCCTGGGAAAAAAACTTTGCAAGTCCAACATGTCTGGATCTGTATTGCAGCAAATGGCTCTGCACCACGAGAGGATCATATCAAAGTTAACATCCCGGTCCAGGAGGCTCCTTCCCAACTTGCTGCTTGTGAATGAACGCACCATGTATAGACACTGTAATTCGATCAAGATGTGGTGTCTGCATCATGCACCTCTGAGAACACCACATGTGTTCATTTTATTTAATATAGTCGCATCTTAGCTTACAATAGTAGGGATCCAAATATTCTAGGTGATCACAGAGCTGCAAGAAGAAGCTGTTTGCTCGCGGGTTTCCGTTCCCTCTGCTGAGCGGCGTCTGTTATGCGGCCAGGTCTGACATCCGCGCTCCCCAGAGCCTGGGCTCCGCAGATGAAAGGGGCGGGCAGGGCCGCCTGCAACCCGGCATCAGCCAGATCAAAGCCCTGCACACATCTGCTCGGGGGGGTCAGCACAGCCCCTGCTCCGCCAGGCACCAGCGGCTCCCTGCGCTCCGCCAAGGTGCGAGCTCTGTCTGCCACGACGGAGAGCAACTGCAAACCCATTTCAGGCGTCGGGAAGATATTCTTGAGATGAAAAGCATAAGGATTAAGCAACAGGTGTTCACAGGGGAAGCATTATACAAGCAAAACTTCAGAAAAACAAAGCAGCACCTTTCCCCTGTCAGTACTTACATTCCAAATTATTTTTTGAGACCTGAAGTTCATGAAAAATCTTCTACTTGAAGCACAATGGTAAAAGAACAGCACCTAAACTATCAATTTTGTTTGCTATCCTTGTGCTGACATAGAGGTCAAGGAAGTGTCATAATGTAATCTAACTCACTGGATGGCGTGACTTCCGACTATAATAAGTATCATATAGTGCCAGAAGTGGATGTAAGTTATTAACAATGCTGAGGTAGGAAATCCAGGGATCACGAGTTAAGTGACTGTATTAAACATTTTATTTGAGGTTCAGATGTCACATGGAAGAGCAGAGAGCCCTGAAATGAGGGCGAGACCATTTGATGACACCAGTTTGCACATTGCTGGTACTGTCACTGGAACCACACTGATTTGCACCAATGGGCAACTTGGCACTTACAGATGTGGTTGCAGGAAAGTAAAATAGCTGTTGCAAGAGATGCATATTCAGCATTTCTGGTCAG